AGAACCACTGTTGTACAACCAAATGAGAAATGAACTACCACAACAAACAGATCATTTGTCTATTTAAAACAGGAAAAACCAAAATGCAGAAATTGCAAAACTTTTTCTATAATATGTCTGAGACCTCCTGGGCACTTTGCAACTCCATCACAAATGCTGAGTGAACCTGTGGTACCCGTGTGTGAGAGGCAATCCTACAAACACATGTTTATTATTTCTCTGAAATATTCAGGCCCAGGGGATTTGAAAGAGAAAACTATGCTTTTGAGGGACTGATAAAAAATGAGGAGTCTTTGTGGCACCTTAGAAACTAACACATTTATTTGGGCATAAGCTTTTGTGAGCTATAACCCACTTCATCAGATGCATGGAGTGGAAAATACAGTAGGCAGGTATAAATACACAACACATGAATAACTGGGAGTTGCCTTACAGAGTGGGGAATCAGTGCTAACGATGCCAATTCAATTAGGGTGGATGTGGCCATTTCCAATATTTGACAAGAAGGGGTGAGTATCAACAGAGGGAAAATTATTTTTTGTAGTGACCCAGCCACTGCCAGTCTTTATTCAGGCCTAATTTGATGGTGTCAAGTTTGCAAATTAATTCCAGTTCCGCAGTTTCTTGTTGAAGTCTGGTTCTGAAGTTTTTTTGTTGAAGAATTGCCACTTTTAAGTCAGTTATTGAGTGTCCAGGGAGATTGAAGTGCTATCCTACTGGTTTTTAAATGTTTTTTGAATGTTACAATTCTTGATGTCTGATTTGTGTACATTTATTCGTTTGCGTTGAGACTGTTCAATTTGTCCAATGTACACGGCAGAGGGGCATTGCTGGCACATGATGGCATATATTACATGTATTTATACCTGCCTACTGTATTTTCCACTCCATGAATCTGATGAAGTGGGTTATAGCCCACGAAAGCTTATGCCCAAATAAATTTGTTAGTTTCTAAGGTGCCACAAGGACTCCTCATTGTTTTTGCTGATACAGACTAACACGACTCTGAAAAGGGACTCATGGACTCCGAGCCGAAAAGGGACCACTGTGATCAGATAGTCTGACCTCCTGTATAACACAGGCCGTAGAACTTCCCCAAAATAATTCCTAGAGCAGATCTTTTAGAAAAACATCCAATCTTAATTTTAAAATTGTCACTGATGGAGATTCCATCACAGTAACCCTTGGTAACTTCTTCCAATGGTTAATTGCTCCCATTTAAAATGTGCACCTTATTTCCTGTCTGCATTTGTCTAGTTTCAACTTCCAAGCCCTTGGATCATGTTATGCCTTTCTTTGCTAGACCGATGAGCCCAATATTACATATTTGTTCTCCATGTAGGTGCTTATAGACTGTAATCAAACCTATACACTTCCAACAGTGGTCATGCTAGTGCCAAATACAGAAGTAAAATAACTTCTTTACTGCTACTCGAAATTCTCCTCTTTATGAATCTCCTGATCGTGTTAGTTTTTTTGGCTACTGTGTCACACTGGGAGCTCATGTTCAGCTCCACCACAACCACCATGTCTTTCTCAGAGTCACTGCTTCCCATGATACAGTCCCCCATGCTGTAAGTATGGCCTACACTCTTTATCCCTAGATGTATACATTTAGCCATATTAAAACACATATTTTTGCTTGCACCCCATAATACAAAGTGATCCAGATCGCTGTGAATCAGTGACCTACTCTCTTCATTATTTAACAATCCCCCAACTTTTGTGTCATCTTCAAATGTTATCAATGATGATTTTATGTTTTCTTCCAAGTCACTGATAAAAATGTTAAATACTGTATGGCCCAGAACTGATCCTCACAGGACCCCACACAAGCTTGATGATGATTCCCCATTTACAATTATACCTGGACACCTGTCATAAGAACATAAGAACGGCCATACTGGGTCAGACCAAAGTTTCATCCAGCCCAGTATCCTGTCTACCGACAGTGGCCAGTATAATGATCAGTGATCTCTCTCCTGCCATCCATATCCACCCTCTGACAAACAGAGGCTAGGGACACCATTCCTTACCCATCCTGGCTAATAGCCATTAATGGACTTTGCCTCCATGAATTTATCCAGTTCTCTTTTAAACCCTGTTATAGTCCTAGCCTTCACAACCTCCTCAGGCAAGGAGTTCAACAGGTTGACTGTGTGCTGTGTGAAGAACTTCCTTTTATTTGTTTTAAACCTGCTGCCCATTAATTTCATTTGGTGGCCCCTAGTTCTTATATTATGGAACAAGTAAATTACTTTTCCTTATTCACTTTCTACACACCACTCATGATTTTATATACCTCTATCATATCCTCCCTTAGTCTTCTCTTTTCCACGCTGAAAAGTCCTAGCCTCTTTAATCTCTCCTCATATGGGACCCGTTCCAAACCCCGAATCATTTTAGTTGCCCTTTTCTGAACCTTTTCTAATGCCAGTATATCTTTTTTGAGATGAGGGGACCACATCTGTACGCAGTATTCAAGATGTGGGTGTACCATGGATTTATATAAGGGCAATAAGATATTCTCTGTCTTATTCTCTATCCCTTTTTAAATGATTCCTAACATCCTGTTTGCTTTTTTGACTGCCACTGCACACTGCGTGGACATCTTCAGAGAACTATCCACGATGAATCCAAGATCTTTCTCCTGATTTGTTGTAGCTAAATTAGCCCCCACCATATTGTATGTATAACTGGGGTTATTTTATCCCATGTGCATTACTTTACATTTATCCACATTAAATTTCATTTGCCATTTTGTTGCCCAATCATTTAGTTTTGTGAGATCTTTTTGAAGTTCTTCACATTCTGCTTTGGTCTTAACTATCTTGAGCAGTTTAGTATCATCTGCAAACTTTGCCACTTCACTGTTCACTCCTTTCTCCAGATCATTTATGAATAGGTTGAATAGGATTGGTCCTAGGACTGATCCTTGGGGGAACACCACTAGTTACCCCTCTCCATTCTGAAAATTTACCATTTATTCCTACCCTTTGTTCCCTGTCTTTTAACCAGTTCTCAATCCATGAAAGGATCTTCCCTCTTATCCCATGACAACTTAATTTATGTAAGGTTTCAGAGGAACAGCCGTGTTAGTCTGTATTCGCAAAAAGAAAAGGAGTACTTGTGGCACCTTAGAGACTAACCAATTTATTTGAGCATGAGCTTTCGTGAGCTACAGCTCATGCTCATGCTCAAATAAATTGGTTAGTCTCTAAGGTGCCACAAGTACTCCTTTTCTTTTTAATTTATGTAAGAGCCTTTGGTGAGGGACCTTGTCAAAGGCTTTCTGGAAATCTAAGTACACTATGTCCACTGGATCCCCCTTGTCCACATGTTTGTTGACCCCTTCAAAGAACTCTAATAGGTTAGTAAGACATGATCTCCTTTTACAGAAACCATGTTGACTTTTGGGCAACAATTTATGTTCTTCTATGTGCCTGACAATTTTATTCTTTACTATTGTTTCAACTAATTTGCCCAGTACTGATGTTAGACTTACCGGTCTGTAATTGCCAGGATCACCTCTAGAGCCCTTTTTAAATATTGGCGTTACATTAACTATCTTCCAGTCATTATTTTGAATCCATCTGCTGTGTACCATGTTAATTTTATATCATTCTAGTTTTTTAATCAAAATGTTATGCAGTACCAGTTCAAATGCCTTACAAAAGTCTAAGGATATTACGTCAACACTATTATCTTTATCAATCAAACTTGTGATCTCATCAAAAAAAGATATCAGGTAAGTTTGAACTGGAACTGTTTTTCATGAATTCATGTTGATTTGCATTAATTACATTATCCTCCTTTAATTCTTTATTAAGTGAATCCCATATGAGCCGCTCCATTATCTTGTCTAGGATTGATATCAAGCTGACGAGCCTATAATTACCCATGTCATCCCATTTACCCTTTTTAAAAATTGGCACAACATTAGCTTTCTTCCAGTATTGCAGAATTTCCCCAGTGCTCCAAGACTTATTGAAAATCAACATTAAAGGTCCAGTGAAAAATTCTGTCTGTTCTTTTAAAACTCTTGGATGCAAGTTATCTGGACCTGCTGCTTTAAAAATATCTAACTTTAGTATAATCTGTTTAATATCCTCCAGAGATACTAGTGGAATGGGAAGAATGTTATCATCACAATAAGACTATATCATCTCTCTTCCCCCCAAATACATAACTGAAATATTTATTGAACATTTCTCCATTTCTGGATTATGATAGATAATTCTACCATTTCCATCTAGTAATGGACCAAATTCCATTGTCAGGATTCCTTTTGTGCCTAATATATTTTAAAAACTCCTTCTTATTGTCCCTAACTCTGCTGGCCATAGATTTCTCCTTTTGTCCCTTCCCTTTGCGTCCCTTATCAATTTCTTACAATTCCTAAGTTCTGATTTATATTCATTATCATCAACCTCCCCTTCCTTCCATTTATTATGTGGGTTACGTGTTACATGATTCTACTAATGCAGAAACCCCAAGACTGTTCAAGAGGCAACACTTCAGTGCAGGGGGAAATGACAGAAATCTACTGACTCACTTGCTGAAGGCCTCTGTTACCCAAAAATGGGCTCCAGCCACAGGAGTCACTGTGGTAATCTGGAGGCTTAGCCACTGTTGGTTTTGTAAAATAACTCCTAGCAGCAACCCTTTTGAGACTTGTTCATATTTGCCACAATAATGGCTCTCTTTCCTTTAGCACTATCTTTTTCAAATCTGTTCATTCTTGAATGCTGAGTACCTGCTTCTGCTTACATTATATGTTTATGTGAAAAGAACACATCTGAACATACTGGCCCCCCAAAAAAGAGGATGTCAGGGAGGCGTGGGGAGTGATTTGAAACTGGCACTTTGGGAGTGAAAGGTGATTTATAATTCAGCCATTCATTCACATTTAATTCATCTTCAAAAAGAATTTTGTCTGTCACTTAGAAGCATCCCTTTAAGCTAACCCCTAGCTTTACCTCAGAATGCTACAGACTTACCCTTGTCAGTAACTCGTCCATCTCTGTCACGAGGGTATCCAGGTTTTTTTGTGCCAACTGAAGGAGTCTCTCTGGTGCTCGCTGAGGTGATAGCAAATGCTGGGGAAAAAAATCCATTTCATGGATTTCAGGTCTTCAGAAATAATGGAGGGAAGAAACATCAAAGCTTTCTTCTCAGTGCAGATGTATCTCCTTTTTTGACACTAATGACTAATGTCACACCCATCCAAACCTGTTTACTCAGAGGTCCTGACAGCTTTAAATCTTTTAATATAGGATATAAAATATATGCATGTGATAGAGTATACAGTGCACTGACTACAATGTAACTGATCTACGGACTGTTAACAAGAATATTTATTTTTACTAGACTTTCATTTCATTTTCTCTGTGCCTGCCATATATTTCCTTCCATCCAAGTGAACAAACAAATTACCACTGCATGATTTACTTATTATCATGAGTCAAAATACATAATTGTAATAACTATTTACCAACTGTGACAAGTTTGAAGTAATTAAACCTTTCATTTGTCTTTTTTCCTACTTCTAGCTGTGGTTATGTGTACAGGCAAATATATAGGTGTCTGTACTGAATCCTTGGATTGATGTAGGTGTGCTGTGCATATACCTTTAATTCCTCTGTCGTGTTCTCAAAACCATACAGCATTCTATATGGAGGAGGCAACGGGCCACTGAGGTTGACACTCAAAGTCATCTGGTTTAGTCGATCCAAGTCACTTAGAAGGAGTCCTATGCACTCATCATCACAAACTGTGGGAAGGACAGTGATAGTAAAGCATATTTATTCCTGCTAAGCATTTAAGGCAGATGTTTGAGCCAAAAATCTTTTACAGCACACTTACAATTCTGTGAAAGATAATGCCACCAATCTCAGATAATTAAACCCAACAAATGTATGGAACTAGAAAAAAACATGGAAACAATAGGTAGGGAATATTGCCTAGAACTTGATAATGGGACAGTATGATATAAAACCAATAGAGCTAAATTAGTAGACTTACCTGGGATAAAGAGGGAAAAAATTAACATTAAACGTTATAGACTAGCCTGTACAAAATCCTAATTTAGGTGAGCAATTTAGAGGAAGTCTGGAGAAAGCAGGCAGATAATTCAGCAATCTAAAGAGCACTAAAAAAAAAGAACTATGGATTGTCCTGCCATGTATTTGAATAGATGCAAACCTCTTGTATTCATGTCATTTATGCACTTTATAGTCACACCACACATAGCAGCACGGCCAAGCAAGTTAAACTGTAATGCAGATCGCAAAAAGGTCAGTATGAAAATGCTGATCACTTCCCCTTATTTAGTGCTTTCCTCTACTTCATTTCATTATTCAGATTATAATTTATTTGACTGTTGTGTACTGCATATGCCTTAAAGGCATTTGAATCTTTTCTCCCCAGTACTTTATCATCCATTAAAAGAAGCTCACATAACCTTATCGTCTAATATTATTCACCCTGAAGACAGAAAATTATTCACCCTGTAAACAGAAAATTATGGGTATGTCTCTCTCTGAGTATGAGTCTCTCATCATCATGCACAAACATGTTACATAGGTTCAGTAAAGCTATACAGCATTTCGGAAGGTGGAGTAATTGTGAAACAATGAATACACTGGGGATGCTAAGAGACACAGAGGGCTGTGCCTAAAATTTTACAAGGATGTAATTATCTCACTCAATAACATCCTTTTAAGCTGCCTAATGGCTAGGAAACCATTAAGCAAAATGTGCATCTTTGTAAAAATAGGATGTATGGTAGATGATTTTCAATGCAGAATGACAGTTTCATCTGAAATCTATTGTTCCGTGTAGATTAAATCTCCTCTGCTTTTCATAATGTTCAGTCACAGTCATCAGAATGTTCCTTCATTCTAAATCAGGTGAGGACAGTTGAATTGTGAAGTGGGGGGCTGGTCCAATTGTGGATGGAGAAAGAAGAATGGATACTGGTTTAATACACCAAGGAGCTACTTGGAGAGGTGTGAGAGAAAATGGATGTCGGTTTAGTGCAGTGAGAAGTAGGTAGGCTAGCCACACTGGAAGGAGGATAGATGTTATTTGAAGAGTTCCTCTATTCATTTAATTCTTCCCCCTACGTCTCAATATTTTGTTGCTTGAGATGAAGTGCATTATAATTATTCTAGTGAAGGCCCTTATATTCTGGTTTTTGCCTGTATATCAAAAAGACTTTTACTGGCCCACCTCTTGTCATCTGTGTGTTTAGAGAGAGAAAACATATTTCCATAAGCTAAAGGCAAGTTTTACGGCAAGCTGTGTGTTTTATATACCAACATCTGTCTCCTAATTGGTCAAGAAGACACACAGATCTGAAAGCCATTTTGGAGGGTGTAAATGCATTGTCTAAGAGAAATACAGTGTGCTTTTAAAGCAGGGGAATTTTTTAGGTATATTTTATTTTATTCTGTATTTATTATATTCTGTATATTACATAAAACAATAAGAATTTTCTAGTTGCCCTCAATATTTTTGAAGTGACTGGAAATTAAAATGGGCTGCAAGTTAAAACCAAACAATTTACCGTAACAGGAAAAATTTGAATAGCTTATAAAAACATGAAGTATTCTCAGTGAACAAACAACTGTCATTTGATAAGTTTTCTCTGAGCAAGTGATATGAATTAACACCTCTTGGTTGACAATCAGGCTAAAAAGATGAACTGCATCAAGTCAGGACCACAGCTGAAGAGAAAAGACAGTTACTCCAATACACAGTCTGAATGTACTGGAGCAATAGCAAATATTTCAAGAGTATGAATATATTTTATATGACTAAATGTTTCCAAAACTTTATCTATAAAACTGTCAGCATAAATCTCTGTCTAATATTAACAAATGCAACTTTAAATTCAGATCATTATAGCAGTGCACATGTGTGAGGGGCAAATCATGCCACTATTACAATCTTTTCAGCTGGCAATTAATACAAAATATTGTATTTTCAGTTTTCACCACAATCTCTCATGCATAAATATTCTGACCTATCTTCTAGTGAAAAGCATCTCAGAAAGCATGTATGCCAAAGAAAAATGGTTTCACAAACACTGACCTCATAATAAATGATACTTCAAGATATACATGTTTTACAGACATCTACCCTCTTACCTATTTTAAGTAAAAAAAGCCAAAGATAATGATAATGGAATCAGATTTTTTTTCAATACACACGGATCAGAGTATAGTTGAAAGGCTCTCCAACAAGTCTTCCTTTTTCTGGAATTCTTTTGTATGGCTGAAAGATCTCACAATATCTCTCATTTTCCTCTGTTTATTTTCCCTTTCTTAACTTTCAAGCCTTCATATTACATGGAATTTCCATTACAAAAATACCCACATGGAATATTCTAATAATGATCCAAAACACTGTAGTAAAACCACTGTAAGCTCTAGTGTTTTGAATCATTATTATACAACAATATAGTATCTTTTAAAGTTTTTTTCTGGATGAGTAGGGCAGAGATGGATTAATTCCTGAGGTGATCAATGCTGATACTTTTTTGTAAAAGTGGATGCTCCAGAGCAAGACAAACCATTCCTCCCTTCCGTCAGTGTCTGGGAGCATAATTTTGTTCTTAGTACTACAAATACCTCAATCCTAATATACCACTCTTCCTAAGCATGCAGAAAGCGCATTCACATCAGTGTCAGTTCTGCATGACAACAGAGAGCAAAATATTATGGCTGAAATTGGTGTTGTGTAACTGAACCCAGAATTTTGTCTTAAATATTGTCATCACCATTAAAGTGCCAACACATCATATTACCCAGAGTTATTTCCCAGCTTAAGTATAAGGGAAATCCATGGAATCTCTGATATCACTATATGGTAACCTATGATAATTATTGACTTTTTATGTTGACTACTATCTATTCCTCTTTCTGCAATCTCAGGGGCTGCCAGTCAAAAAAGTGGTTGAGTGAACCTGGAATCAATCCCAAGTGTCTTTCTTGATTGTGCAGACCACTTACGAAACTAACCAATCTTATATCATTTCCGCCCCTTTTTCATCAGGGAAAAAGAAGTGAAATCCTGGTTTCATTTAATGTATTTGGAGTTTTGCCATTAACCTCATTGGAGGCAGGATTTCACCTGTGATCTCTATGTCTCCAAATTTTGCCAAAACTCAGACCCAGATCTGGATCAAAATTGTACGGCTCAGGTTCACTTCTGTTCTCCACTGTTCGTAATCCCCCATTTGTTGCAGATGGCTGAGACTCAGTAGCTAGTAAGATTTAAACATGCAGAGGCTGGTGCAGTGGTTCTCAAACTTTTTGCCTTCATAACCCCATTTTCAGACTTATTGCTTCGTGCTACCCCAGAAAGCATGGAGGATGGTATTTTGCTCTACAAAATGGTGTCCTCTGCACAGCATGACTTCACATGAACCATACATGCGAAGTCACACAGCATGGAGTCTGCCATTTTGTACAGAAAAAAGGCATCCTGCACACACAGAATTGCAATCTCACCTGCTGATGATGCTACCCCATTTGGGGTTCTGATACATAGTTTGGGAACTGCTAGGCTGATGGCAGGACATTCGCTCAAATTTTCTCTCTCCAATAGTAGAGTGCAGGTTTCTTGACTGCATGGCGTAGTGCAATGTCCATCTCTTTTCACAGGGTCAAATTAAATAAACAAAATTTTGTATTTTTTTAATATATATATTTCCCAGCTTCTCTATTTGTCTTATATTTTTTCCCTTTCCCTTTTATTTTCACCCTTTCATTTAAGTCCTTGCTTGCACATTAGTACCAAGTTGGCAGCATATATTTGAGGATAAGGATTTGTTGTTTAAATATTGCTGCAGATCTCAAAATATTGTGACTAAACTTTTACAGATGAGTCTGAATTGTACATATAATTGATCCCCTGAAAAGTGCTCAATAATAGGTGAATTATTATTTTATTATTTATTATGGGTATTACAGCAAAGCCTACAAGCTCTTATCAGGATTGGGGCCAATCAGGATTGTGCTAGCCACTGTGCAAACACACAGAAAATCTTCGTCCCTGTCCAGGTGAGTTTACAATCTAAGACCCTAATTCTCCAATGACTCTCTCATGATTTTATGCACTCTGGGCAGACCAGCTGAAGTCTCTAGAATTACTCACAGAGCATAAAGTTAAGCATGTGTAAGTCTTTGCAGAATCAGGATCTAATTTAAGATGAGATGCAACAGACTATAGACTTGATCCAAATCCGATTGAAATGAATGGAAATATTTTCATTGACTTCAGTAGGCTTTGGTTCAAACCATATTGAAGAAGAAAGAGGGAGGGAGGACAAGTGTGAGAACATTGGAAACTCTGAGTTACATATTGTGGCCATGTGCAGAATTTTAAGTTTTTATGCCCAAAACCATCTAATGCAGGTGAAGGGGCAGAGAGCGGAAAAAGGACAACCCCTATGCATTGAATTACTCTTGGGCATAAAGGATTGTGGCCATCCCTTTTTAACTCCGACAGAGAAGCACATATTTCTGAAATACAGTTGTAACTATCAAAAGGTCAACATTTACACCCCAATACTTGAGATACCACAACTAATGTCTATTACAAGTAGGATATTGTGTTGCCTGTATCTCTGACACCAGGCTGTGGTAGCTATTGGTCAATGGTGACATTTATAGTGGTGAAAACTGCATAGATATTTATATTATTTAACATCATAGGCGTGCCTAAGCAGAGTAAATGATTACAAATTAAAACTAATATTTGTGAGTAATTAGAGAAAATCTGGGGGAAATTTTTTGTATTTGAAATTAAACAATTTGTTCCCTGCATCATTAAAAATAAGCTCTGTTGCTAATTTTCTTATTGGTTATGAAGGCTACAGTTTGCTTGAACAAAAAGGGGAAAATAAGACATTAGAACTGGACTACATAAGAGCACAGATTTCAAGGATCATGTATATTAATCAGTGTGGAGACCTCCTCAGCATGACCCTGAGCATACAAACTCTTCACTCCCTGGAATTTTTGAAAATCTGATGGCTTCATTTGGAACCAATCAATTGGGGGCAATGATATAAATGCCAAAATTACTTATTTAAAAATAAAGAAATAGATTAGAATTAATTCAGAGGCATATTAGGCTATTTTGAGTATTGAACTTCTCAGAAGAAATTTATTTTTGGCTATAATTTTTCTCATCACTGCTCTAGCTGCTCATCAGACTAGACCTAACATTGTTCTGTTCTGGGAGTGTAATAAGGAGGTTTATTCCATGTGTCTACGCTATCCACATGTAATTATCTTTCTGTTATTATCTGACTGTAAACAAATTCTTCCCTTTGTACAACAACTGTATGTTTTTAAAAAATCCCCCTTTTTCCATTCTGCCTGTGGCTCTCTAAAATATAATTATTACAAAACAATACTGACAAAAATGCTACCTACTAAGCAACAAAAATGATGTAATGAAATAGTTGCTCGACAAGATGATGCTATACTGTAAATAAAAAAAAATTATGTTCAGTCAAAAATATGATTATTTAAATCCAAATGCACACCTCTCTGGTGGTGGGGTTTTTTTTTTGCCTAGTCACTTTAAATTGTCCCACCATTAAGATGTTTAGTATAAAAGAGACCTTTAATATACATGTTACATTTAAATAATGTTACATTGTAATAGATTGGTTAAAAGTTTACTTTTAATAGGATTTCAATTTGTATTCCTTAACTTTTATGTGTTATTTTTAAATATAGTACTGCCATTTAAAGAACACTTCCAAAAAATTAATTAGTAGAAATCATTTGGTATTAAATATCCAAAATCAATGGACAAATATTAAATATGACAGTCCAAAATGTTAATAGTTTAACAAGACTATGCTTTAAATTTATATTACTTACATGTGTGTGTATGTATGTTTGCATTAAGCTAGACCACTTTAAAACCATCTAATAATCTAGGACTTTACATCACAATTCTTGCAATTACCACCAATGCACCAATATTTAAAATGAAATTATTGAAAGGAACAAAAATATCCTGGCGAATACTCATATATCATTTGTTTGAAAGATTGCAGGTATGTAATATTCCTTATGGGGCATTCATTTGCTCCATTTTAGTCACTATTAGTCACTTAATCAATATTATTATGGTTTTATTACAGTTGAAAGTGGTTAGCCATAAGGTTTTTATTGCGTTTTCTGGAAAAAAAATGTCTTATACACTCAAGCTGAATGATAACAACATAAAGGGACCAAATCCTCAGCGGCATCAGAGTGAATCTTGGCACAGCTATGGGCTTGGGGAGGTGGGCAAAGCCTCAGTGCTTCTCTAAATGATGCCTCTCTGCAATGGCTCTTGGTGGGCCCTTTGACAGCTGGAGTGCAACATTGTATCACCAACACTCCTTGTGTCTGTTATGACCCTAGAATGCCCTTGATGGGCTAGGAGGGGGAAGCATAGAGTTGGCTATGTTGGCCTTAGGCTACCTGGGGTTTCCACTATGGTAGGGGAGTCCCCAGTCTGCCACTGGAGCAGGCAGACCTGTGGAAATAGGGAGTAGAGTGATACCTGGTTTATATTATTTAATACTAGTCTCCTCTGGTGCACAGCTAGGAATAATATGGGCCACATATTAAAACATATTAGAGAAAATACCTCTATTTGTGCATTTGCAACTTGGCACTTCCACATGCAATGTTGAGCACTTTCACTTGTGTGTGCAAATGCTAAAACCCATTTGTACATGCAAACTCAGTACTAATGTTGTTTTGTATATATGCAAGTTATTTGCATACACACAAAAATACAAGCTGAGTTGAGGCTGCACTGACAATTTTGGCTATATTACTAATAAGTAATACAATAACCATAGACTTATTTTCCTTAATGTTGCACTCATACTGTGAATTGTATTTTACAAATTATCATTGACTTCACTGGGAGTTTTGGGTGCACAGCACATCTGAAAATCAGGCCTCTTCCATTTAGGTACCTGCCTATGGCTTTAGATGGCTTACTTTAGGTGCCACACTGAAAAATGCAATCAACGTTTTATAGGTAGGTAGCTATATACAGCAGGGCTTGATAGTCCATTGCCCTGCACCTTGTGTCATCATTTACAACACTGCAGAGAGGGTGTAAAATACTGCCATTCTGATCTGGTAGCATTTTACATGCACTTTACTCTCACGTTGCTCCGATATAAATGAAAAGACAACGTGCAGGACAACAGAGAACCAAGCCCTATAACATTGGGGTATATTAGGTCTCTCTATCATTCTCTCTAACATACCTATGAAGATATTAACGTACTTATACAGAGAATGTAGCGTCCTTTTCCAGCACTTACTGAAGTTTCTCACCTAGCTGTCTGTTCACTGACAAGGCAATGTTGGCTCCTTTGTACATTTGAACACTTGTAAACCTCACCCTGCCAGATTCTGAGCACTTCCTGAGAGATGCTGAAAGCCCAAATGACTGCAATGTTCTGCACCTTACAGCATCAGGCCCATTATGCCTAGCATACTTTAAACAGGACTCCTTTATTCATCCTTTCAAACATTGAAAGACATATTTAGCTCTTGATGGATATGAGCTGTTAATGTTATTCCATGTCAATTTTAGGGTTTAATGCCTATTTTTAGGCTGTTTTGCATTGTTTGTGTTGCACAGTTGCAATTTGTCCTGATTACCTATTAGCTGGTTTAATAGTAATGGTACCTGAGTCCATACCAAAGTCTCTGGAAATTTAGGCTGAGTAAAGATGAAATGAGTACTCCAGGATTTTACCCAATGCAAAAATAAAAATTTTAGTTTTATGGTGCCTATCTGCTTTGGTGTTATATGCACCTCACATGGAAAGAAAATCACAAAATGAAAAAGCTTCAATTAAAATTCAACAACAAGATAAAATCCAGATAAAACATTAAAACCAGTTCATTGTGGCCTGCCAATATATTCAAGTATGCATAGAATAAAAATCTTATATACTAGGGGCTTATTGGATCCCTATCTGTGTTCTGTTTTAAATAGAACAATGATGTGAATGCCTGGAGGGTGGGAAAATCACAATTAAATTAGTTCCTATTCATTTTCTCTTTTTTAAGAAAATGCCTTATTTCAGTTCATGATTGACTCAGTGTCCAAGAATACGTTCTGCAACCTGATTTTTATGTGCTTTTGAGAATACATAAGGAATTATCACAGAAAAATGAAATTCTGGGCTCAGAACAAACATAATATCCAATTTCCAAAATTCCAAATTCCAAAAAATAATAAAAGAGAAGACAATTTGAACATACAAAAACTGAAGGCAAGGGCAAAAAGTATGAGTTTTGTAAAATGTAACTCAACAGTGTTTTAGGCTAGATTGGCTATTCATTTTATCCTTTAAACAAAAGACATTCTTTGTTTCTGAATAGATTGTACCCTGACTGCTTCTATCGTCTCAATTTCAATAGGAGGTTGTGAACCAGCATGTCCAAGGCTTTCTATAAGCCTTGATGAATACTTTTCAGAGTCTATGTATGATTCATGGCAAAAAGCAGTGGAGCTGCTGATTAAACATTTAGGAACATACTAAAATATTCAATAAACCCAGATCTTTAATCTGTCACAGCAGCATCCCCAACCTTTGGCAAATCTGCAAACTTCGAAACTGACTAAAAGAAGTCCTTCAGAGCCTTGCTGTGGATTTTCAATGATGGTATTAAACTGTACTGAAGATTTTACAAGCATCTTGAGGCTTGTGAAAATGGGAGGCCAGAATGCTAGGGAAATGAGAAGTCTGGTAGATATTTTCAAAAAAAATAAAACAAAACAGCTACATAATTGACTGGCACCATAGCAAGATTCAGCTCCTGAGATGCGACACAAACCACCATAACCCCCCGAAAGGTAATGTTAGTATACGTACAAATGCACTCCATGCCATCACGCACATGCTGGTGCTTGCAGCCTGCACAAGTCCACCCTGTGGATCCAGGTTTGCAAGTGCACTGTCCGGTGACAGGGTCACAGGGGATAGGCAGTGAACCGTATGGATCACACTCACATTCTTGGCAGGACCTTCCTGGAGTTCTTGGGTCACCGGTGTAGCCAGGGGAACATCTAGACATTATAAATATCAACACAGATTTGTCCTCTTAAGAATGCAGTGTATTATATTTATCTTGTCAGCAGTTGGCAAGACTATACCAAGTTGAGCACCCAAAAGCACAAGCCTTGGGATTTTTTGGGGCACTTTATGAACAAATATATATTTATGTAAGGGAGAAATTTGCATACCACCTGACCAACTGATTATAGGCACAATCCTGTGATCAATATGTGGGTTTCAATCAGGACAGCAGGGTTGGGCAAAATGATGCCAAGGCCTAATGCTCCCTAAAAGCTTTGCAGACACTCAAGCCCCATCAGAAGTAAAACTCTACAACAGACTGACTTGAAATCTCCCCCATGATCTACCTTTTATCAAGAGATTGTCTGGCTGTTGTGTTTAAAAGAGAAATTTGTACTAATAATCTCCTGATAACTGTGATCAGCTTATTCATACTGTGTTATGCAGCTATTTGTTGTTATGGGTAGAACAACTGCAGTCTCTTTGGTTATTAATAAATCTAACTGTAAATTTCTTCCGTGTGGTCAAGGTCAAAAAGGCTTCACTAACAGCCAAAAAGGGAACTTTAGGATGACATCAGGACAATTTATATGTATAACACATAATTTTAGATAAATATATCATTTTCTTTAGCTCTTGGAGTACAATGAAAAAAGAACATGGAGTAAAAAAAGACTAAGCCAATAGAATTTTGGAATTAACATTAATGAGTTTATCCACTCTCAATTTACAATAGAAATTGTTAAACTACCTGATAAATCCAGATTTTAAACCATATACAGAAGAGGAAATAACTTATCAAAAGAAGCATATTTAGAAGATACTTAATTATTTACTGACATCCACTGAAAGGCATTATGCCTCTTTCTACTCTGTCCCCTTTCTAATTCTCTCTCTCCATCTCATCCCACACAATTACCATACCTTTCACAGTACTGGCCTTCATATCCAGGTGGGCAAGCGGTACACCGGTAATCACTGAGACCTTCCGCAACACAAGAAGGACTAAAGCTAAATCGGGGGAAACAAAGAATAAAAAGCCATTTCTACTGTACTCCATTTATATACCATCTCATGCTAAGCAGCTGTACAGGGCCACTAATAGAGTCTCCTCTTCAATGTTAATATCAGGATTTTCTTACCCACTATGTACCTTCTTTTTTACCCGCTAATGTACCTGCTATGTACATCTAGTGGAGAGATACTCATCAGTGATCACAATTCTTCTATAAGTCCCTAGCTGTGATGTGAATGGTGTCAAAGGGTGAGCAGCGAAGGGAAAAATTCTGCTATTTTTCCAGCAACAGTAAATTTTCCCACCTCAGCCATACTTTGCTGATTTCCATGTCCTCTGGTCCTTGTTTTGTAATGTAGCATCTGCTGGAGTGTATGGGTGCCTCTGCCCTCTGATGGATAGAATCAGACCTGCTGAAGTGTTACTTCTTCTTCTTCTTCTGATTATTATTATTAATTATTATTATTATTATTACTATCATAATGCCTAGGATTTCTAGTTGTGGACCAGGATGCCACTATGCTAGGTGCTGTGCAAACAGAACAAAAAGAGGCTCCGTCTCCTGCTGAACCATGGCCACTGGGAGCTGCAGGCGGCCATGCCTGTGGATGGTCAATGTAAACAAACTGTCTTGCAGCCCGCCAGTGGATTGCCCTGATGGGTCACAGGTTGCCCGCCACTGGTCTAAGTATAAGACATGGGGACAATAGATGGATGAAGACAGACAGGGGAATTCAAAGAAACAATGAGAAAGTATTGATCAGCATGATAGGCAGTGGTGTCAGCATACGTGCTACTCCTGGGAGAATTCTGTGCCAAAAAATTAAAAATTCCGTGCCAAAAAAGTAAAAATTCTGCACACAATATTTTCAAATTCTGCAAAATTCTGCATATTTTATTTGTCTAAATAATGTAATATAATCACACTGGTTTCAATTACTTAGGTAATTTATTTAAACTACAATACAATAAATGGAGAATGGGAGCGAGGAGCACTGGAGAAAATCCCCAAGCCCCAAATAGTAATGTAGCTAGGTTTGATCCTTAATTTCTAGTTATTAGTCAACCAACATATGCAGCCAAATGCCCAGTGTTACATCAAAGGCAACTAAAGAGCAAGTGAGGGCTGAGGAATCAAACTCATAATTTATATTGGTTACTGACCACCACCAGAAAGGGCAGTAGCAAATAGTTCATGGAGCATATTTTTTCAGTCCAAAACATTAGACCAGCTCTAATCACTAAAGCACCATAAGCATTTATAAGGCCATACTGTCCTTTATACCACTCTGGCAATGTGAAGGAGCCTTAAAACTTTTTCACCTGTTTTATACTTCTGGGGGAATTCACTAAGAACAATGGGAACAACTGACTAAGCAGGCAGGCTGCTACATTCTGCTCTGCCTAAGGGGACGGAGCCTGCCCCATGCTTACCTCCTCAGAAACACCCCAAAGACCTGCCCCTCCATGCCGAGCATGCCGCAGAAGCGATTAAGAGGGTCAGAATGTCTCTCTCTCTCACACGTATGACTGCCCAGCCCCACTCCCGGTGGTGATTTATGTCTCTACCAGCTGCTCCGGGCACCTGAACCCACCTGCCTGTGCTGGTGGGGAGGGGTGGGTGACCACTCTTGCAGCTTCCCCATTAGAAGTCATTCTTCTGTGGGGAGGCAAAGAAATCTGTGGGGGGCATGAATTCTGTGCACGTGCAGTGACGCAGAATTCCCCCAGGGGTAGCCAGCAGCCTAACCATTGTCAAGTTTTTTGTAGGCATCACGGCAAAGGAATGTTTGAGGGAGGATTTTGAAGGTGGATAAAGTGATAGCTCTGAGACTATTTACAGGGAGTGCCTCCCAAGCCTGAGTGGTAGCAAGGGAGAAAGCACAAAGGTGCTTGTTTGAAAATTTAACTAACAGGTGATGGAGGCTGATGTCATAGGCTGATTTGGAGGTGGGAGTTGACATCTTGATAATGGGTGACAGATGATAGGTAGCATGTGGATAGGCCATGTAGGGTCTTAACAGTGAAGATGAGTAGTTTATGGTTAGCGTGACAGAGAAAAGGAGCCAGTGGAGGGATGCAAAGAGAGGGTTGACATGGTCAAAATGAATGGCCAGGAAAACTATCTTTGCAGGAGCATTTTGAATAGCTATGAGCAGGACAAAACTGTGTTTGTCAAGGCCAGAGAAAAGGATGTTGCAGTAATCAAGACATGAGATGAACCAAAGTTTTAGTTGTGTGGGTGGATAGGAAAGACCATTATCTTAGGGCTTGTCTTCACAGGTAATTGATGCCAAAGTTATGGGCCTAATAGGCAGGCTGAATGGTGGTGCTGGGAGAAGGCCTTGGGAAGAGAGGGGTAGATTATGAGCTCTGTTTTAGCCATGTTGAATTTGAGCTGACAGCTAGACATCCACAAGGAGATGTTAGAGAGAGGCTGAGATTTCAGTTTAGACAGAGGGAGACAGGTCTGGAATAGAGAGGTAGATGAGTGAGTCATCAGCAGAGAGGTGACAGCTGATTTGTTGTTTGTGGATGAGATTACCCAGAGGTATGGTGTAGAGGGAGAAGAGAAGGGGACCAAAGACAGAGCCCTATGGAACCACAACAGAATGTTGATGGGCAGGATGAGCCAGAACCTCTTGAAGACACTCTGAAGGAGCGATCAGAGAGGGAGGAGAAAAAACAGCACAGGATAAAGTAACAGAAGCCAAGGGAGGATATGATTTCAAGACGAGCATGGCTGATGATGTCAAAGATTGCTAACAGGCCGAGGAGCATGGGGATGGAATACTGGCTCTGAGCTTTGGCTAGGAAGAGGTCATTAAAGACTTTGGCAAGATCATTTGTGATGATCTCACACTCTTGCCCTAATACTACCCTATTGAAAGAATAATTTGTTTTAGCTCAAGCAGTGAATGTGTGTATTTTAGACACAGAATATAATGAGTTCTGTTCACGATAAATTGGTGACTGTAGTGTGTACCCACGAAAGATGTGTACAGTAGCGTGCTATTGGAATATTAGTAAATCAGGATCCTGTACTCACAGTTTAAAAAAAAAATAGGAGGGGAGGAGGGAGACACAGCTAAGCATCAAAATGGTGCTTGTGCTACAAAATGTATCAACCTATTTGTGCAGGGAGTGCCAAACCAGATTAATGCTGAAAAAGCACTGAGGTGCTGGTGGCCCAGAACTCCCCACTTTGGTACAGTGCAGTCAGCATCCTTATAATGCATTAAATCAATAGTGCTTGAATGAGTAATAAAAATTACACCTTTGCATAAAATGTAAACAAATTGATCTACTACTCACAAACTCATTATCCAACACATTTTCAACTGTGTAAAAATAGATCCACACACCATAAGCAACTTACTCCCTCCAGTTTTTCAGCTCATCATATTTGAAGCTGAAAGCTGATTGTGCAGAAAAACAAAAACATCTTTAAAAACTTAAAGCCTTAAACTTAGTTGTGCTCTTGAAAACTTAAAAAATAAAAATAACTGAATTCTATTTCTTCAAAAAAATGTTATCGTGTCAGTCTGTGTCATCCAAGTACCAGCTCGTGTGTAGTTCACCTAGGTGTCTGTAGCTTTATTATTACGGGGCTACAATAGAGTGGCTAAATCTGATTTTTCCCCCCTCTAATATTATCTCAAAGAGCTTGTAACGAGAAAGTGGAACAAATATAAATCAGGCTGGCCGTTATCAAATCAAATCAATTCAAGAAAGCCTTTTCTGTTATAAATAAGGCACGTGGACCATGTCCCAGAGGTTAAAGCGCTGCACTGCTACAGAAGAAACCTGGATTCAAGTTGCATTCAAGTCTTTCATTGGCTAGGCTGATAAGACGTGGAAGAGCTATGGAGGTTGCACAGCAATTTCCTGAGGAAAAGGGAACCTTGAATCATCCTTAAGTAATTGCTTTGGTTGATCTAGACTCAGCATTTATGAACTCTGAAAGAATTCTTGATGCCGTTTGCTTCACATGAAAGATCACTGAAATCTTGGGTATTGAGGATGGAAAGAGGAGGCGTTCCCACGCAAAACACCAAAACCACCCCCAAAATTATAAAATGATGAAGACAGAAGATGACATCTCAAAGGGAAAGTGTACTGACCAAAGTACTTATTAGCACATCCTAAAGGTCAATCAATGAGAAAGAACACAGAATGTGGCTTTGGAGAAAGCCCTCGGCCCTCGGCCTTTCAAAAGAAAGATCATGTGCCATAAACCTCTTAAGAGGCAACAAAGAATGATTCCTGATGGCACCTAGGGCTTCCCACCACAATAACAAACAAATCTCAAGTATCATTTGTGGGAAACAAGGAGAGAGGGAGGTGGGAAGGTTCATTAGCATAAGGCAACCAATAAAGTGGATACTGCAGTAACTGCATTGTGATTAAACTATTCTATCCTTCACAAATTGCCTAAAACCTATGTAACGTTAAATAAGGAATCAATAAATTGCACAGCAGAAAGAGAAAGGCACTGTAATACACTTATACCAACACAATATATGAGCAAAAGACTATTTACAGCTCCCTTGTGGCTACATTGTACTTGAGCTCTGCTCTAGCTTCACTTATGAGAAACCTTTTGTAACACACATTCATTATCTGTGGAGCATTGCATTTTCCACCCATTATTAATTTATTCATCATTAATTAGCAAAGGAGCAGTCCCTGACTCTTTCAGCAAGATCAATTAGCGAAAGTGGATTGGACATTTTTAGCGGGCACTTATACTGTGTACAGCTGACTGAGAACACTGAGTGAGACCAAGACAATGTTATTATTGGCTGGAAGAAGCAGCTTAATGCCACAGGCTTACTTGTTGCTGGGAATGGTTAGAGGACAAGCACAAGGATGGCAGTCCTCTGGAGATCCTGGGACGTTCCCATAGAATCCGACTGCGCACCTCTCACAATGATCGCCAGCGGTGTTGTGCCTGCAGTTCTGTGAGGAAGGAGGGAGAAAGAAAGCAGACCATATTTTGTTCCCAGCCCAAGGGAGTCAGACATTCTTAGATACAAGGGATCTTTTTCACTGAATGAGTTCTTCACTACTGTCTCTGATGCAGTTCTCACTGGAGCTGCCTTCTTTGAGACTCTCCAAAAGACATGCTGTGTGTGTTACATATGGGTTTACGTGGAGGAGGAATGGAAGCCTGCAACTAGCCACATGTATTCCTGCAGTTTCTCATCCTGTTCATCTATCTTTCCCTTTCTTTCTCTGCTACAGCCGTCAAAGTAGGAGAAACAACTAACACTCCATCTTAATGTGTCACCAGTGCAGGGGATGTTATTGTCTATCAGAATAGCACGTTGTTTAGTGTGAAACAAACAATAAGTTGCGTATTGGGCTTACAGGGGTAATGGGGCAATCACCTCTGGAGTGCCTCCAAGTGGCGAAGTGCAGTATCACAGTCCTTTTCTCACCCTTGGTGCCTCCTGCGTGCTGCTGGCTGACCTTGATGGGTCTTCAGTGGTTTGGCCCTGTGGCCCAGTCACAAAATTCAAATGAACCTCTTCTGTTCAGGCTCCCAAATAAGGCCTGTCCCCTGCTTGGGGTTTATGCCCCTTTACCTGTGGCTGCCAAGGAAAGCCAGGCCTCTCCACTACTCTGGATTCCAACCCAGGAACCCTATAAACAGCAGACACATACTTCTTACTCTAGACCATTGCTGCTATTTCCCTAGGCACTTCCGACCCAGCCCCTTTTATCTCCATTTCCCAGGTTCTCTTGTATCTCCAGGCTAAAGAGGAGTACCCTTCTTCAACAGGTTTCTTGCTTCAACCTGCCGGAGTTTGGGGGAGAAAAAATTACACTACGTGACTGGAATCCCTAACTCAAGAAGGTCATTCTGGGAAAACTCTGAAGATAGGTTCATTTTTTGGTCTGGCAACCTTGACAGTGTCCCATCTTTAAAGCAAGAGATTAAAATATGACCTCCAGATTTTCAATTTTGGCACACAGCAGATTAATTTTAGAAGAACATAGTGCACTAGGTTAGGAACAGCCTACGATTTATACCTGACATATAGATGTTTCAGGGTCACACATATTACTATGTCCATGGCATTGACATGCGGCACAGGTGCCTAGGGTTGGGCCAGGTCTCCTGCCAGATGATCTAGAAGGCAGTCTATAAAATCCTGGAGAACATGCCTACAAGAAGGAAAACAGATCATCACATAATAGATGGAAACTGGGAGTACGGCAAGCTCATCTTCACCACCAGCAGCTTTTACAAGTTGCCAGGCCCCCAGCTATGTTAAAAATAATATACAGTACTTTACAAATAGCAGAACCAACAAAAATTGGAAACATTATTGCAAAATCCCTGGAACGCTGCCTTGGCACCAGCCTTTTCATAGTACAGCTACAGAGACCTTTCATTCACATGCAAAATACCCAGTCTTTCTCACTGTGCATCAAGCATCCTTCCCTTCATATCTTGAGAAAGAGGGTTTATTTTCAAAATAAAATTGTTGCACGGGCTACAGGGAGCAAGCAGGAGGGTTCTGTTTCCCTTGTCCCTGGTGGGTTTTTCAGAGTTGACAAGCTAATATCTGCTTGATGGATAACAAGCAAATGTCCAATGACACTCAGCAAAAACATTCTTCATGTATTATTTATATATGTATAATTTAAATACTATAGAAGTAAAGAATTAAAAATAATAAAAGCTCTAATAAAATTTATTCTTGATCTGGATTTTTCCACTTGGTAATAAAATTCTGAGAACCCACCAAAGATGGTTAGGAAAGCTGACGTGCAAAATCAAACCCTTCATCTTCATTTCAAACTTATTATGTAAGTATATCAATGTGGATCTCCAAAAGCATACAGCTATGACCATACAAAAAAACCTAACCAAAGCAGGATTGTTTTGGAGAGTCATCCCATTAGGAGAAAGTGTACCTAGATAAGAGAAACTCTACAACCTCAACCCCCACAAACCCACCCCAGGGATCTTCTACATGCCTCTCAAGATAAACAAGGGAACTGGTGCACACCCTTATATCATGCAACAGCACAGTTATTGAAGGAATACTCGGTCTCACAGAAACAATCCTCAAACCAATCACCACCAAAAGGGCCAGTTTCCTCCAGGACAGAACCAACTTCCTCCAGGAACTCTGCAACATTAACAACTTCCCTCAGAACGCCATCCTTGCCACCATGGATGTCACTTTCCTGAACACCAACATCCCTCACCATGATCATAGAATCATAGAATATCAGGGTAGGAAAGGACCTCAGGAGGTCATCTAGTCCAACCCCCTGCTCAAAGCAGGACCAATCCCCAACTAAATCATCCCAGCCAGGGCTTTGTCAAGTCTGACCTTAAAAATATCTAAGGAAGGAGATTCCATCACCTCCCTAGGTAACGCATTCCAGTGTTTCACCATCCTCCTAGTGAAAAAGTTTTTCCTAATATCCAACCTAAACCTCCCCCACTGCAACTTGAGACCATTACTCCTTGTTCTGTCATTAGCTACCACTGAGAACCGTCCATCCTCTTTAGAACCCCCTTTCAGGTAGTTGAAAGCAGTTATCAAATCCCCCCTCATTCTTCTCTTCCGCAGACTAAACAATCCCAGTTCCCTCAGCCTCTCCTCATAACTCATGTGTTCCAGTCCCCTAATCATTTTTGTTGCCCTCCGCTGGACGTTTTGCAGTTTTTCCACATCCTTCTTGTAGTGTGGGGCCCAAAACTGGACACAGTATTCCAGATGAGGCCTCACCAATGTCAAATAGAGGGGAACGATCACGTCCCTCGATCTGCTGGCAATGCCCCTACGTATACATCCCAAAATGCCATTGGCCTTCTTGGCAACAAGGGCACACTGTTGACTCATATCCAGCTTCTCGTCCACTGTAACCCTAGGTCCTTTTCTGCAGAACTGCTCCCAAGCCTTTCGGTCCCTAGTCTGTAGCGGTGCATGGGATTCTTCGGTTCTAAGTGCAGGACTCTGCACTTGTCCTTGTTGAACCTGATCAGATTTCTTTTGGCCCAATCCTCTAATTTTTCTAGGTCCCTCTGTATCCTATCCCTACCCTCCAGTGTATCTACCTCTCCTCCCAGTTTAGTGTCATCTGCAAACTCGCTGAGGGTGCAATCCACACCATCCTCCAGATCATTTATGAAGATATTGAACAAAACTGGCCCGAGGACTGACCCTTGGGGCACTGCACTTGATACCGGCTGCCAACTAGACATGGAGCCATTGATCACTACCCGTTGAGCCCGACAATCTAGCCAACTTTCTATCTACCTTATATGATGGCATTGCTGCCTGCCTCAAATATCTACAACAATGGAAAAAGCTCAGAAATCCATTCCAAACACATTGCCAAACTCATCCATTTCATCCTCACCCAAAACAACTTTTCATTTAACAACAACACTTTGTCCAAACCATGGGAACAACCATGGGTTCCAGGATCACTTGTCAGTATACCAATCTCTCCTTGGGCCACCTTGAGGAAGAATTTCTGGACAAATGCAGCACACATCCATCAATGATATTTTCATCCTCTGGACAGACAACCCAAACTCCCTCATAGATTTTCACCACAAGTTCAACAACCACCTCCCATCCATCAAACTCTCTTTAGAACACCTCCACACCAGTATCAAGTTCCTGGACACCTCAATCAGCTTTAACAATGGAATATTACAGACCACTATATGCAAGAAACCCACAGATCACCACATCTACCTACACAGATCCAGTAACTACACTAGATACTCTAAGAAATCTGTTACCTACAGCCAGGCACTGAGATACCACATAATATGCTCTGAAGAGGAAGTTCAGGATACATACCTAAACACACTTAAAACAGCCTTCATCAAACAAGGACACACCACCAGAGAAGTAGATCTCATCATAGAATAAGCCATCCAAATATCTCAAAAGAACCTGTACAGAAAACAAACCCCACTGACTGCACACTCCTAGTTATCACGTGTCACCCCACAATAGAACCTATATGGGGTATCTGTTATGCTAGCAGACCCAGCTGCCAGCTCATGCCAAGGCCTCTAAGTCTCACTGAAGACTGACAAATGCATGGCTGGAAACCAGTCTGGCTCACCTGTGTGTTAGTGTTATTAAAATAGGTATTAGACTTATAGAGCTATATTTGGTGTTTGGACTTTATGAAATGCTTGTGAGTTGCTGGATGAATTAATCTCACTTATAATATCTGTATCCCATGTTATAAGGTAATATTTAAGTGTTTGCTTTGTAACAATAAAAGTGTTTGCTATGAAGCTGGAAGACCTCCCGACCCAGTCAGAGGAAAAGCATTACTAAGTATGAAATACTAGTTTACCACACAAGGTGCAGTCTCCTGTCCAACAAAAGAAGACCTATAGACACCAGATGAACGATTGTGGAACATCAGTGGACAGAAGACTTTGTTGACTGCTCCCCTCACACCCATGAAGAGCGGATGTGCACAAACCCTCATCTCATCACAGTTTGAACTCTGGGGGAAGGGAATAAAAATCCCTGACCCAAAGATCCTGTATCATTATGCTGCTTGGAATTTGGAGATGGCTTATTTTATGCATAAGCAAGGGATCCCCAACATGCTTGGATATCAGTCCTCATCCTCAAAGAAAACCCGCACAACACTTTCAAAAGACGAGCCTGGGAGCTTAAACTCATAACTTTGCTAGACACTAAGAATCATGGACTGAATAGACTGAATTTATGGCTTATTACAACAATCTATACCCAATAACAACCTCCCCCCCCCGCCTCTTCCACCTCTTCCCTTTCCTCCCTATGACTAGTGGGGGGTGTAAGTAAACCGACCACTTCACCTTGATAGGTCCCTTGAAACATGCGTTAACTACATATGCTAAACAAACTATTTAGCAGTGACACTATGAGGCCATGTCTACACTACAGTCCTATATCGGTATAACTATGTCACTCAGGGGTGTGAAAAATCCACACTCCTGAGCAACGTAGTTATACCACCTTAACTCCCCTGTCCCGGTGTAAACAGCGCTGTGTCAACAGAAGAAGCTCCCCTGATGGCATAGTAGCATCTTCACTAAAGTGCACGTGAAGACAAGCCCTGAGTAAGTTTCCCAGACTGGAAGAAGAGGTCTGTGAAAGCTTGAAAGCTTCTCTCACTCCAACAGAAATTGGTCTAATAAAAGATATTACCTCACCCACTTTGTCTCTCTAACATCCTGGGACCGACATAGCTACAACATCACTGCATACTGAATATTGTTGTGATAATTGGTGTAAGGGACCATCTATCACAAAGGCAGACTTGCCAAGTGGTAAGATAGACCAGAATCCCCAAGGGGCTCTCTGCGACTCCATGTTAAAACTGTTCGAGTACTTGAGGAGCTCACACTTGATACTTGGTTTGTATCTAACTATAGAACACACAACCAGTTTGGTTTCTGGCAGTGTGCCCTGAGGTTGGCATCTATGTTTGTGAACCACTCTAGACAGTATCACAGTATCAACAATTACAACCCATCCTTGAGGGATCACATCCTGAAATAAATCTTTCCTGAACCCCTACTTTTGGTCTTCAAACAACGCCCCCCCACACCCAACTTTGCCAAGCTCATCAGAAGAAGAAAGCTCCCACAGACTAGGACAAACCAACTCAAAGTGAGACCAGACGCTGCCAGAACAACAGATGCAAAACCTGCAAACATATTTCCAGTGTTACAATGATCAATACCTTCCATGACACACCTTTCAAGATTCATGGGTCCTACGCATGCCTAATGCAACATGTGGTGTACCTCATCCAGTGCATCAAATGCCCTAACAACATCTATGTGGGTGAAACCAGACAATCGCTATGCTCTCAAATGAACTCACACAGAAAAATGATAAAAGATAAAAACACCCTATCAGCTGTAAATGCTTTCTACAAAAAACAAAAACAAACAAAAAACCAAAACCCAACTCCATATTTAACCTGTTAGTCCTCATCCTCAAAGGAAAACTGCACAAAACCTTAAAAGGACAAGCCTGGGAATTTAAATTCATAACTCTGCTGAACACTAAAAACCATGGACTTAACTGAGACATTAATGTTACAGCCCATTACAACAATTTGTAATGCACCCTGCTGCCTATGAACCCTCCATTGACCTATGACTGCAGAAG